TGTCAGTTTCTGTAATGATATGTGTGTCTTGTGATTAAACATATCTTAATGCCTTGGACTTGTCACAGTTGTAAAGAATTGATTAGATATTGCAGAAAATGAAATTTGTTGTCTCAGGAGAGCTGTCATAGCAACCAGCATAGAGAAAAGGATGGTAGGAACAAGTCAGTTTAACACTGCTTTAGAAGAGTTGAGAGGTCAGTCTCTTTTGGGCCAAAGAACCTAGAGCTAATTAATTGGCTGGTTTTTTGGTTACTAAACCAATTTGTCTTTATAAAAGAAAGAGACGAGGATAAAAATAAAACTACCATGAATTTTATACTTGTATCTTTTTTTAGGAATATAGATTATTCATAATAGAATATTCAGCCTAGTTTTTAAAAATCCTATTACTTGTCAAGCACTGTGCTAGCCTAGAAGGCAGAAATATGAGAAGACACAGTTGTCTTTCTTATGGAGATCTCACCATCTAATAAGAGAGAAAAATGTGAAAAATAATTGTAAGGATGTATAAGTGCTAAAATAGAGTTCACTCAAGGTATAGAGAATGCATAAAACAAGGAATGATCAGATTTTCTGAGGTATCAGAGAAAACCTCGCAGAAGAGCATATGAACTTGCTCTTGAAAAATGAACTGAGTTTCCCTGGAGAACAAGAAGTTACTATTCTAGGCCTAGAGAACAGTTTGCAAAGACAGAACAAGACGATGTAACACACTGGGGAATACTTGTGAGGAGAAAGGGAAAAAAAAGGTTAAGAAATAATTCTGAAAAAGAAGATAAGGGCTAGCTCATGAAGGGCTTCCTATACCTATTCCTTCAGGGGCTCACTCACCAACCAATTATGTAATAATGTTAATAGACTTACTGTTTAGAGGGATTAGAAAGGGTAAAACAAAAGGCATACTGAGTTGAGTAAATCTGTTGGAAAAATGATATAGTGGCCTAGTGGAGAAGAAGGATGGATCATAATAGGAGGAGGAACCAGTAGGATTGGAAATCAGTTGAACATGCATGTGGGAATGACTCTCAAGCTTTTCCTTGGATGTTTGCATGGGCAGTGATATCATACACTCAAATAGGGATTATAAAAGGAAACAAATGTTGGAGCTAGATCGTGCCATACAGTCAAGTTAGTTTTGGATGTATTGATCTTGAGGTTCCTGTTGAGCATCTGAAGTAATAGTGAGATTTGTAAATTATATAAACTTATGAGATAGAAGTGGAAGACATGGACTTGGGTGAAGTATGTAGGCAGAGTGAGAGGGAAAGAGGATGAAGAAAGCATGCTTTTCCTTTCTTGTGAAAAATGTGATCCTTTAGGGTGCAGTAGAAGAAAAAGAGCACATAATGTATCTGAGAATGAACTGGAGGAGAAACAGGGAAGAGGGGTACCAAAACCTTCAGGGTAGAGAGAGAAGAGAGTTAAGAGTATGTATTAATATTTGTTTGTGGGCCAGATGTGGTAATGAATATCTGAAATTTCAGTTACTTAAGAGGTGGAGATCAGGAGGATTTTGGTTTGAGCGCAGCCTATGCAAAAAAGTTAGTGAGACCTTATCTCAACAAAACAAGCTGATCATGGTGGTGCACATCTGTAATTCTAGCTACGTGGGAACATTGGAAGATCTCAGGCCCCGGCCAGCCCCAGGCAAAAGTGTGAAACTATCTCAAAAAAAAAAAACCAAAAAACTAAAGGTGAAAAGGGCTGGGGTAAGACTCAGGTGGTAGAATGCCTGCCTAGGAAGTATGAGAGAGACTCTGAGTGCAAATTTCAATACAACTTAAAATTGTTTATGGAGTGGAAGTTTTATGTGGAAAACCCTATGTTTGTAATTTATCATAATCTATAATTTTACCGTAAAATCTCAAGTTTATTAAATTTATTTCATATTTAGAATTTATTCTTACTACCATGTATGTCTAAGCACATATGTGTGTATATATGTATATAATATGTCTGCATGTATGCTATTGCTATATTGCTATTGCCATATAACAGCTAAGGGTGGTGGCATTATATCCATTCTGCAGTTGATAAAACTAGGGTTATGTAATTGTTTAGGGACACATGGCCAGTACAGGACCTTGGCTCTTGTTAGCCACTGGCTGAAATAACAGCACACCTGTCAGTTAATTCAATAATGTTTCTTATTTTCAAACCCTTTTGTGAATGTAACTCATACTTAATAAGTTTAAGATGTGTTACTCAGAAAAGGAGTTAATTCTTCTTGCTATTTTCAAATTTTTAATAATTTTTCAACTTTTAAATGTCATACTGTACATTTTTTGTTATTTTTTAAGTTTTAAACTTTTTGATCATGATTATAGGTTCTTCAATATTTGTATGGTATTTTCACGGCTAAATGCTAAATTTTGAAAGCATAATGAATTGTACCAATATAGTAAAAGGTATGAATGGTTCTTTAGTCAGTTCTTGGTTTTCTACTGAAGTTATCTATAGTTTACTTTTTTTAATTGTTTATACATTTATTTGTATATGTATACATCTCTCCCTTTTGTCCCCCTTCTCCTCCCCCTCACCCCTCTCGCTTCCAGGCAGAATATCTATAATTTTCAGCATTGTTTTAGAAAGGTAGATATACCTCATTAGTTGTGCTATTCTTTAGTTCTGATTGAAGTCAGTATTGAAGATTTTTGTAATATATTGCAGCTTTAAGACTTGACCCAGGGTTAAGGGAAGGAGTGTGTGTATGTGTGTGTGAATTTGTGTGTGTGTGTTGTTGTTGTTGTTAAAAATGGGATTTTTACTTTTAATCATAAAAATATCAAAGAAAAGTTGGGTGGTAGAAACAGCTAAGAAATAGCAAATCTTGAATTCTGTTGTTAGCTTTTCTAGTGGACAGTAGAATGACCTGGCAAGTTTTTCCTTTCTTTCTTTAGTAACAGGAAGAACTATAAGAAGATAAAGTTTCCTTTTCTTAAGTTGAATTCTTTTTGATAGGAACTAAGAAAATAGGATAGTTGCAACATTGTTTCTGTTCTGGGTACCATGGTTTCAATGCAAAGTAGGTTAGTAAAATAGAAACTTCTAAGCTTTTGATTAAATCAGGGAGACTTAGATAATTGACCTTCATCTTGAAAAGAGATATTAAAAAGAGCTCTTTAATCCAGTTAACATCTATATAAAAGGAATGCAAAACTCCCTATCTTGCAACATGAGATAATATTAATGTTTTTCTACTAGAAGAAATTAGTCTTTTAGATACTTTTAGGTTTTAGTCTTTAAAAAAACATAATTTTTTAAATAATAAAAATAATATGTGTGATTGAATTGAATAAAAGTTACTAATACATCTCTCTCATCATGATATATATATATCTCATCATGATACCCCTCTGCTAAAACATCTCTTGTTCTCAGTGTCATCTTTGGAATTAGCCTACTATGAAAAAAACTGGATAGTTGAGAAATTTACTTGTCTCAAATATGGTATAGAAATGTTGTCTATCTAGTTGAGTTGTAAAAATTGAGACAATTGATACAAAGTAACTGTTAACATAGTGCTTGGCGTGTAATAAGTAACTCAGCTAACTCAGCTACTCTTAGCCATTAAAAGGATGAAAAAATTTTTAACAGAGGAATTAGGCTATACATTAATTTACAAATAGCAAGTGAAACAGGGTGAGATATTTTGATTCTTCCTTTCAATATAGAGAGATCATATTGAAATGAGAGGAATGTATTTCCTCTATGGTGCTTCACAGAATGGAACTTTTTGGGAGGGGAGAAAATTAATTCAGGACCTCATATTTGCTAGGCAAAGTGCTCTAATACATAAGCCACACTCCCTGTCCTTTTGCTTTTTTAGTTTGTTTTTCACATAGAATTTTGCGCTTTCTGCGGGGTGGCCTAAGACCACAGTCCTCTTATTGCCACCTCTGGGTAGATAGAATTACAGTGTTTATCACCACTCCAGGCTTGTTTTTGACATAGGGTCTCACTAACTTTTTGTCCAGGCTGGCCTCAAACCTTGATCCTCCTGTGTTCTTCTCCCTATTAGCTGGAATTACGTGCATGCACAATCATGCCTGGCCCCTGGAACAGGCATTTTTTGTTTTCATATTCTGGTACTCATATGTCTTAACAATGGCTTCTCCAAACTACTGTATGTACACACACCACCTCCGCTACAACCACCACACAAGTTTTATATTGACGGGTCTTGAGTAAGTTAATCAAAAAGCATAGTTAATTTCTATTTCTTTTACTAGAGACACAAAATTTGGTTTTGAAATAAGTGACAACAATAGGTTTGTGTCATTCAGTCAACTTTTTTTTAACAAATAATTTTAATCATACGTCAAGAAGTATTGTTTGAAGTTGACTTTTGATTCACAAATATCTTTGAGTATTTGGGACAGAATAATTTAATCCAATCCTTATCATTTATACCAGAAAAGGGACATTTGATACAAAAGCACAATTTAGGATTTTTTTCCCCTGAATGATTTCAAAATCTTAATCTGACATAAAAGCAAAATTTAGGATTTTATTCCCTGAATAATTTCAGAATCTTAAACAAAAATGTTTCTTCTAAATGTCACTAGCAGAATTTTGTTGAAAGCTAACTGGTGGATATCATTTTAATTCAGATGTAAGAAATTAAAATAGCTAGAATAGTACTAAATAATAAAGTTATTTCAGTGATTGTTTCTTCATGCTGAACTAAAAGATGATGCAATTATTGTTACTCAATCTAAACAAGACTTAGAGAAAAATATTAGGCAAAAAAGAGCTTTGTCAACTAGCAGTGAACTGTTGGGATATTACTATCTGTATTACCCAGAACAGGGAGTTGAAAATAGTAGTGAGTTTTAGTTAGGAGGTGACCACAGTAGTGTAACTGCAGCATAAAGTCAAGGAAAAAACAGATCTGTGAGAGGAGGTGAGGAAAACAAACCATTCCTGAATTTATATAAAGGATAATCTAGATTCTAGTAGAACTCATCTGGATATATGTCATAATTTACCCTAAAAGACAATGTGAAGTAATTGGGACTTTAAAGAATTACAGTGTCAAGGAATCAGATTTCCTTATGAAATAACTAGAACTCTTGAGACAATTTTGTTCTAGAAGAATTGTGTGAACTTTCTAATTATGTTTTCTTTAATTTATTCAGATCAGCTGTTCCATGTATTAGCCTTGCACATGCGGCTTTATACCATCGACTCTGAGTATAATCCCTGGAAGAAGCTCACCCAGTTAGTAGAAGATACAAATTCACAGTAAGTCTTCCCTTACTCTCTAGCTAAAGCATTTCATTCATGTTTCTTGTAGTATTTCTATGATTTTAATTTTTGCATTTAGGTTCCTAATCTGCATAGAATTTATCATGGCATGTGGTGTAAGTATTGGACCTGATTTTGTTTTTCCACGTAGCTGTCAAATGTCCTACTGCTTTACCTTCCTATGATACTAGATTTAAAATTATAAAAGAAAGAAAAAAGGAAAGAAGGGTGAAGATCCTTTTTGTTTACTAACATGAAAAGATCATGATTCTCCTGTCTCAGCCTCCCTACTGCTAGGATTATAGGTGTGTACCACACTTGGTTAGATTTTTTTGATTAAAATATCTTTTTGTATTTTCCCATCTTCACACTTTTCCAACATAAAATTCTATGTCTAATGATGTTGGTTTTAAAGACTTTTTTTTCTTTTTAGAGCCGTTTGAGGTTCACAATAGAATTAAGAGGAAGATACAGAGATTTGTCATGTGCCCCTTGTCCTTACACATGCATTGCCTCCTCCATTCTCAACATTACCACCAGAGTGGTGTGTTTGTTACTGATGAGCCAACATGGAGAAGTTATAATCATTCAGAGCCTGTAATTCACATGAAGTTTCACTCTTGGTGTTGAACTTTCTGTGGGTTTCTTATACATATATAATGATGTGTGTCTACTATTACAGTATAAAGTACTTTTACTGTTCTCAAAAACCTCCTCTGTGGTTTTTGAGAACCATTCGTTCCTCACTATAATGCCAGCAATCACTGATCTTTTTATTGTCTCTATAATTCTGCCTTTTCTAGAAAGGCTGTCAGGTAGATGGAGTCATATAGTATGCAGATTTTTCAGATTGGTTTTTTTCAGTTGGCAATATGCATTTGAGGTTCTTCCATATTTTTTCATGGCCCAAAAGCTCATTTCTTTTTAACAGTGAATAATATTCCTTGTCTGATATACCATAATATATTTATTCATTCACCTACTGAAGGACATCTTGGTGCTTCGAAGTATTAGTAATTGTGAGTAAAAGTGCTATAAATACCTGTGTGCAGGTTTTTATAGACACGTAGTTTCAACTCCTTTGGGTAGATACCAAGATTGCTGGAACATATAGTAATAGTATGATTCGTTTTTTAAAAAACCACCAAGTTGTCTTCCAAAATAGCTGTTCTATTTTGCATTCCTACCAGCAATGAATGAGAGTTCCTATTGCTCCACATCTTCACCAGAAGTTGGTATCATCAGTGTTTCAGATTTTGCCTGTTTGCATTATCTCATTTTTAAAATTTGTGTTTCCCTGATGACATACGATGTGGAGCAACTTTTTATATGCTTATTAGGCATCTGCATATCTTCTTTGAAGTATTTATTAAGGCCTTGATACCATTTTTTAAATTTGGATTACTTGTTTTCCTATTGTTGAATTTTAAAGAGTTCTGTGTATATTTTGGATAATAGTCTTTTATCAAACTTGCCTTCTGAAAGTCCTTTTTTCCAGTGTGTGGCTTATGTTATCATTTTCTTGATGTTGTTTTTCAAAGAGAAGAAAGTTTAAATTTTAATGAAACCCAACATATCCTTTTTTCCACCATGGATCATGTCTTTGGTGTTGTACCTTAAACCGTCAGCGCTATGCCCATGGTATTTTCTAGGAGTTTTATATTTTAGTGCCTTACATTTAGGTCTGTGATCCATTCAAGTTAGTTTTTGTGAAAGGCGTAAGGTCTGTGTCTAGCTTCTTTTATTTTCTTTTGGATATGGATGTCCAGTATTTCAGCACCATTTGTTGAAAAGACTTTCTTTTCCTCATTGTATTGATTTTGCTCCTTTATCAAAAATAAAAGACTCACCTATGTGGATCTGTTTATCAAAGATAAAAGAGCTCAGCTGTGTTGATTTCTATTCTGTTCTGTTGTTCCCCCTGTCGGTTGTTTCAGCAGTATCGTACTGTCTTGATTACTATAGCTTTATAGTAAGCCTGGAAATTGGGTAGTATCAGCCTTCCAATTTGACTGTTTCCCTTCCATATTGTGTTAGTCATTATGGGCTCTATGTATAAATAACTTTAGAATCATTTTGTCAACACCCAGAAGAATTTGTTACGGTTTTGACTGGGATTACATTGAATTTGTAGATCAAGTTGTGACAAACTGACATTTTGGTAATAAAACTCTCCCTATTAACAATCATGGAGAGTTTCTCCATTTGTTTAGTTCTTTGATTTCATTCACCACGGTTTTATAGTGTTCTTCATGTAGATTTTGTACGTATTTTACTAGATTCATACCTAAGTATTTCATTTTGGGGATATGCTAACATAAATGATGTTGTGTTTTTAATTCATTTATGCATTGCAAGATAGAGGAAAGGTATTGACTTTATTAACCTTGTCCTGCAACCTTACTATAATCACTTACTGGTTGCAGGAGGGGTTTTTTGCTTGTTTATTTGTTTGTTTAGTTTGTTATTTCATTCAGATTTTCTGCATAGATGATCAGGTTGTCTGTGAACAAAAAGACAGTTTTATTTTTTTCTCTCTTACCCTGTATATTTTTATTTCATTTTTTTTGTCTTATTGTATTACCTACTACTTCCAGTGTGATGGAAAGGAGCAGGGAAAGGAGACATCCTTGTCTTGTTCCTAATCTTAGTGGGAATAAATGTGTATTTTAAAACATTCAGCATTTTAAAAGATAATTATCGCAATGATAGTATTAAGCCCATCAAATCCACTGGATCTTTCTTTTTTTGGGGTTATAAGTCAGAGCTTTGCATTTGCAAAACAGGCACTCTACCACTTGAGCCACACCTTCAGTCCATTTTTCTCTGCTTATTTTGGAGATGGGGTCTTGCCCATGCTGTTCTCTACATTGGTTCTTTTTTCTATAGAGGGGTGTATCTATCCATCCATTCTAATTATATGCCTACCATGTGCCAGGAAAGATCCATTTATATGTCCTTGTAATAGTTATTTTTATTATAGTGGCCAACATGCATGGGACCAATTTTGTTTTGTTTTTTTTTTCTAATTGCAAAACTTGTTTTTATTGTTCAGTGTCTATAAGATACAAAAAGTGTTTACAAAGAAAATGAAATAATAAAAAAATTTATAACCTACATGGTGACTACTGTTAACATTCTAGGCATTTCTTTATATATATATATATATCATGAAATTTGAAATATAATTTGAATCATGCTGTATAAGTTTTAAGTCTGCTTTTTAAATTAAGACATTACAACCAAATTCCATATCATTAAAAATTCTGTAAATGATATGCTTAATTTATTTACTTGTTTCTTGTTAATCACTAAATTTTTGCTTGTTTTCTATCATATGATGTGTTAACACCTGCCAGATATACCCAGAACTATGGAGTAACATTCACATTTCATATTCATGGAGCACATAAATATTTTAAATTCTTAATCAGTCATTTGATAAATATTCACCGAGCCATGCACTGTTACATAGTGCAACATTGCTTTTCAGAATGACCATATCTTTATTTTTTTTTTTGGCATTACTGTGGTTTGACTTCAGGACCTCACATTTACTAGGCAAGAGTTTGTACCACTTGAGCCACACCCACAGCTCTTTTTTGCTTTCTCAGTGTTTTGCCTGTCTATCTATGTCTATCTATATCTGTCTATGCCTATTTCTGTGACAATGCCATGCTTGTTTACTTAAGGCAATTTATTATGTGGACATAATCTGGTTGGTTTAGGTTCCTCTCATTTCTCTTCCCCCCTCCCAGTTGTTCTTTGCTATTCTTCCATGTTTATTTTCCAGATGGTCTTTAAGCCATTTTCAAACCCTTCCCCTCACTTACATTTTTTTCACTGGAATTTTATTTTTTGAAACAGTCTTGTTAGGGAGGCTGGCCTCAAACTTATGATCCTCATGACTTAGCCTCCTGAGTGGTGGAATTAGCATTGATTGGAGATATTGTAAACTCATAAATCAATCTGCAGAGAAAATAATTATCTTTATAATATACCATTTCCTCGACTAGTAACATTCTTTATTTCATTCATTCTTTGTATCATTCTATTGTGTGCATACTATGTTTCTGTATTGAGCATCTTTTAATTGTACCTTCTTAGTACATAATATAAAGGTATGCTAACTTTTTAGCAAGGTATATATGAATAATCCTAATGGGGGTATTGTCTTTCTTTGTAAGAAAAATGGTTTTCTACATGGAATGAAATAATACAATCCTAAGTATGGAGTTTTTACCTGCATATGGAGATTTGGGCTAATTCTAAATAATATTTGAAAGTATATGCAATAATATTAACAATAAAGCAAATAAGTAATAGAGGCAAAAAAGTAATTTTGAGAAAGATTAGATTGGTTATTTATTCAATTTTTTTAAGGTAGACACTCAGTACTTATATTGCAAAAGGTAACATATAATATAAAATAAACTAGAATCTAGAATTCTGTTATCTAAGTTTTTCATTTGCTTATACAATCACCATTTTTAATAAACTATATTTAATTTACACATTTGGGGATACTTTTTTCCACTTGTCTCTACACAGTTTTTAATACAATGATTTTAAAATTATCTAACTTTATTTCATTTTAGAGAGACATGATCTTACCTATAAACTTTAAATTAATTTTTATTTGCCACTTACGTAGATTTTGTGTGTGTGTGTGTGTGTGTGTGTGTGGTGCTGAAAATCAAACCCATGGTCTTGCACATGCTAGGCATACACTCCATTATAGAGTTACATCCTCAGCACTTGTTATAAATTTTTAATGCCTACTCAGGATTATTTTTTTTGTTTGTTTGTTTGCGGTACTGGGATTTGAACTCAGGGCCTACACCTTGCGCCACTCCACCAGCCCTTTTTTGTGATAAGTTTTTTTGAGATAGGATCTCACGAACTATTTGACCAGGCTGGCTTCAAACCACAATTCTCGTGATCTCTGCCTCCTGAGTAGCTAGGATTACAGGCATGAGCCACCGGTGCCCAGCTAGGATTATTTATTTTTAATACAGATTTTTAAGTGGACTTCATTGTGTTGTTTTTATACAGGCATAGAATGTAATTTGAACATACCTCCATCACCCTCTCTTTTTATCCCTCACTCTTCCTGATGTCCCTTGCCCCCCAACATTCATGTCATTTTTTTTCTTTTTTTTTTTTTTAAAGGTCTATATTCTGCATGTGAGAGAAAACATGCAATATTTATCTTTTTGAGTCTAGCTGATTTTGCTTACTGTGGTAATCGCTAGTTTCATTCATTTCCCTTTAAATTACATAATTTAATTCTTCTTTATGATCTAGTAATTCTCCATTGTGTGTATATATAGATCACATTTTATTTGTCCATTACTCTGTTGATGGGCAGCTAGACCAATTCCAGCTTGGCTATTGTGATAGTGTTGCAGTAAACATGGGTATAGACCACAGGTATCTCTTATTGTATGCTCACTTAGTTTCTGTTGGGTCTATGCCCATACTGATTTCCATAGTTGCTGCAATAATTTATACTCCCAACTACAGTGAATAAGGACTCTCTACCCCTCCCACCAGTATATGTTGATTGTTTTCTTGATGACAGCCATTCTTTCTGTGGTGAAATGTAATCCCAATACTGTTTTATTTTATACTTCCTTTATGGCTAAGGATGCTGGCATGTCTTAATGTATTTATTGGCCATTTGTATTTCTTTTTTTTGAGAACTGTCTGTTCATTTGCCCATTTATTAATTGAATTATGTTCTTTTGGTGTTTCATTTTTTGACCTCTTTATATATTCAGGATATTAATTCTTTGATGAATAGCTGGCAGAGATTTTCTCCCATTTTTAGGCTCTCTTCACCCTGGTAATTGTTTTCTTTGATGTGCAGAAGCTTTTTAATTTGGAACAGTTCTTCCTATTATTTCTTGGGCTGCTGGAGCCCCCACCCCTCTCCATGACTGCCTACCATGGAGGTCTCCCACCCACACACTGTGGCAGTGTTCCCAGGCTCCCTATTTGTGGTTGTTCCTTGTTTTCAGGTCTTCAGAGCATCTCAGTTTCAAAAACTATTCCCCTTCTCAAGATGACATGTGGCTATAGCACTCTGAAGTTCAGGAAGTGACAAAATGGATTTCTTTTCCAATACCAGCCTGCCATGCATAAGGAGTCATTGTCACACAAAATCCCTGCACTGGAGTTAAGGCTGGCTAGGACTACCAGTCTCTTGTCAGGGGCTGCCTGACTTACTTTGTGGTCCTGTCCACCCTTTCTCTCTCCCCTACAGTGTTGGAGCTATGGGTTGTTAATTTTTTTCTTCGTGGCCTTTCTGTTTTCTCCATGTTTTCCAGCTGTTCTGTTGCTTCTTTTATGATTCCCCATGTTCTTTATCTCCTTCTCTCTTTAGAATATGGTCTGTCCTTTGTTACCCTGACTTCTCATTCATGGAGTCACTCGGAGGAAGCTTCTATTCCACCATCATGGAAGCCAACATACTTTTTTTTTTTAAAATACCTAAAAGTCCTCTGATTTGTTGGTCTTTAGGTTTTGGTGCAAGAAATTCTCAAGCCTGTCTGATTTTAGTGCAGTAAAGTGAATCTTTGCCCAAGGGTGAGATTGGACTAACCTAAATGGGTCCAGATAGTGCCTTCTAATTCTTAGCGTCTACTGGCAGCTGTTAGATTTCAAGTGGCAGTTTGAAAATCAAAAATCATTTTTATTCTATATAGTTTTTAATGGATCTTTTTCTTTATACATAGGTAGGGAATTGTTATTTTCCTCCCACTTTTTTTCTCCCATTTGTTTGGATCTGGCTTCATCTTTTTTCCATTATTCCTTTGAAGTCATTCAGTTTGTTTCATTAAAGGAGCTCATTTGGTTTGTTTCATTAAAGGAACTCTGATAAAACCACAGAAATGCAGGATTGTGTAGGACTGGTGAGCCTCAATCTCAATAAGTTCATTAATTTACCATGATATCTCTTTCCTCAACTCATTTTATCTCTGAGTTTCTATATAGTTGAATTTTAGCTGCTTAGTTTTTCTTTCTTTTGCTACCTGTTTTGTGTTCATTCATTCATCCATCCATCATCCATCCACCTTTCCATTAATTTTTCATTTGTTTGCTTAATCAGTTGTTTTTTTCTTGCAGTACTGGGGTTTGAACTCAGGGCCTTAAACTTGCTAGTCATGTTCTCTACTGCTTGAGTCATGCTCCAAGTTCTTTTTTTAACTTTAGTTATTTTTCAGGTAGGATCTTGTGCTTTTGCCCTAGGCCAGCCTCAGACTATACTCCTTATACTTACCACCTCCCAGTTACTGGAATTGTAGATGTAAGCCACCATGTCCAGCTCACTAGTTTTATTAATAACTCTATTTATTAATCTAGACATTGAGATATGATAAACATGGTATATTGTCCTTAGTAACAGTATAGAGGATAGATTAGGAAAAAAAGCATATTTTGAGGAGATTGATAAATATAAGGCAGTATCCTAGGGATATTTAAGAAGGCACAGAGATAGAATCTTCAGAATTTCATAGCAATTAAATATGGGGTGAGCAAGAACAAGTGGGTTTGAGATGTCTTCTGTTTTGTAGTTTATTTATTCATTGTGCTTTTATTATATGAATATTATGTTTTAAGCATTATGCTAAATGCTGGGGGATATAAGAAATATGCCACATAACTCTTAAGATTATAGAAAGGAGAACAGGTTGGTCATAACTATTATGGGAGTGTGAGTATGGAGTAGAATGGAAAGATTCATTTTCAGGCACATTGAGTTTGAGCTGTCTGTTATGTATACATACAAGTGGAATTAATGAGTATTCAAATACAGAGTTCAAGAGAGTCATGATTGGACATATATACTTGTGAGTCATTAACATATAGCTGGTAACTGAGGTCAAGGGTAGGTCTTTCAGCAATGGCATTTTGTTTTTGTTTTTCTTTCAGTGTTGGGAATGGAACCCAGGGTCTTACATATGCTAGGCGAGCAATCTCCCACTAAGTTACATCCTCAGCCCTAGTGGGTCTTTCAAATAGAACCCTTAGTGTGAAAATAAAGGGAAATTGAAGCCTTGGGGAATGACAGTGTTTCTAGGTAAATTGGAGGAAGAAGAACCTGTCATGAAGACTAAAGAACAATCAAAGAGGTAGAGGGGACCTGGGGAGTGTTTCACAAAAGCTAAGAGAATTTTCCAGTCAGTAGTGTTCAACTATATCTAAAGTCATGACATAGGCAGTAAGATAAGGATTTAAAATGTCTACAAATTTTATAATTAGGAGATCATTATTGATCATATGAAAAATTATTTGCATGGTGGATTTGAATGATAGAAATAGTGCCTCTCCAAATTGATACTCTCCTCTCTTCTCCTTCTCTCTCTCTCTCCCCGCCAACCCCCATCCCCTCCTCCCTTTTCTTTCAACTTCGGGCTCATAAAGTAAAGAGAAGAGAAGTTAGAGAGACTCGAGAGACAAGATACTAGTAGGATCGATAGCCTTAGTGAAAAAGACAAGAATAGTATATTAAGAGATATTTGTAGAGAATGGAAAAATTTAAAGAGCGGTCTTCCTCTGGCAGTTACATGCTTCGCAATAATAGGAATTAATTTATTCACTAGTGTGTCGGGAGCCTGGTACATATATAGTAATTTGAATCACAGAACCTAGTAAAGAATTAAACAATTTTTGCCTATTCCATTCTAATCAGAAGTATTGTTTCAGAATTTAGCTAATTCTGGAAGCTTAAGATTTATGTGTCTTCTCTGATAATTAAAAATTAAACATACAATTTAAAAAATTTAATAGAGTTAGGGTTCATCTTAATGGTAGAGCACTTGCCTAGCGTGTGTAAGGTCCTAGGTTCAATTCCCTGCACCAACATACATACATAAAAATTAACCTTTTAAAGATAATTTAAGAATTCTTTTAAAAATAAAAATTCTTTTAAAATATAAAATTATTTTTATATCTTATGTTTTTCTTTAGTACTATACTTTCCTAAGATTTACTGCTTTGGTTTTTACAGCAAGTTTTAAGTTTTGCTTTGGTCATTACAATCTTTTCTTTGAAAATTTGTAAACGTTAAAGATTTTATTTGATTTTTATGTTAGTCATAAAGTTGCCACAACTTTTTCATAAGAGATATTAGCCAGGCCTTTTCAATGTGACTTGGTTTGTGATCTGTACCTGTCATTTTTTTATAATGTGAGTATTTATTCTTTCATACTTATTTTGTGATACTTTCTCATGAACTACTACATTTGTAGTAAAACTAATTTTCTTCTTTTCCATTTAATGCTTCATTTGATTTCTGTAATTTAAGAGATCAGAAAGACTCATATTCAAGTTAATGTATGCTAGCTGTTTTCTTTGGTAAGAATAAGCTTTCTGTGTAATTTTTTTCAAAATAGAAAAAGGATATATATGAGTTATTTAAACAATTACACTTTTAGGCAAAAAAAAAAAAAAAGACTCCCAACTTTTTCTTTTTGAGAGTTCTCACTTTTTTTTCTTTTAATAAAGGTTTTGTTTCTGTTTCATAGACATATGTGTGAAATATAAAGTGAATTAGATTTTTAAAAAATATATAATACTATATAAAGTGATTGTATACTTTTCTTTTAGGCTTGGAAATGAAGAACAAAAGCCTGAAGTCCCAATTCTTTATCATGATGTAACATCCCTTTTACTTATCCAGATCTTAATGATGCCCCAACCATTACGCAAAGGTAGGTGTTTATAATTCAGATGCTTAGATTATATTATGAGTGTTTTGAAGATTATATGGGTGACTAGAACATTCATTCTGATGGAATTTTTTTGTGATAAAAAACATTTTTTTCTGTTATTAGTAAATAGCAATCATTTTAGAAGGTGACAGTGAAACAAAAGTACCTTTTTTCTTGTAAATTTATTCTTTTCAGTGTTAGTCAATAAGAGGCAAAGATGTGGAGAAAACACTCTGAAAACCTTTGTTTTTAAAAGATTGAAGTGATAATACAAATGAGAGGTTAAAAAATAAAGCAAACTGTCAGCTTTAATGCCTGCACATTATCTACATACATATGCATTTCAATACAGTACTAATTGTGGTTCTACTAGTGTTGTAACATAGCATTTTAGTAACAGTTTTCATATTATATTGGCAACATTTTAATTATTGTTCCATGGTCTTCACGTTAAGGCATTTAAAATATTCTGTCAGATAATTAACATTATTCTCTGTTGAAAAATCATTTTTTGTTATTGTTGCTGTTACAAGTTAGAGTATAATGAGCATCTGGGGAAGACATTCTTTGGGTGTACTTCAGCTTGGTCATTTAACAAGTCCCTTTATGTAAGGGTAAGGAAGGAAGTGATCTTATATCTTAAATATAGACAAGCTATGATATTTCATGTAAATTATGATATTCTGTAAAGGTAAAATAATTTAATAATAAATAAGTGTAATATTTTATTTATACCAGCACTATGAATTTTGAATTAATGTTTTTAAGCTGTAAGAGTCATATGACATAAGATTTGCTATTTAGAAAATTTTTAAGTATATAATTGCAGTGTCATTTAGTATAGTTACAATGTTGTACAACCTTCACCATTTTCTACTTCCAGAATATTTTCATTAGCCCCAAAAGAAACTTACAAATAAGCAGTTACTCTCCATGTTCTTCTTCCTCCAACATTCAGATATTTTTGAATATTGGTTTTCTTGAGTTTGACTTTGTCTATGAATTTAGTCAGTTGTGTTCATAGACTTTAAAATCTAAACCTGTCAAATAGCCTCAGCGCAATTTTTCTCTTTGCAAAATTAGCTTCACATTCTTTAAGGGTGTGTGTGTGTGTTGCTTTGGTTAGTTTTCCTCCTTAGTTTAGGGAAACAGTTGCCCGGGAATCATGGTAGCTTTCTTCAGTTGTATTCTTCTAATTATACTACACATATTACTTTTGAAATATAAAAAGTTACTTTGTTTTTTATCTTCAAAATAGTTAAATGTTTTATTTAAATATTTGCCTTCTAATTATAATTAGCACATCAACCTGAAAAGCTAAAGGAAAGAAACTTGACATATGGATAGAATTTTATTTTCATAATCTATATTTAAAGAGAAAAGTATTTCAGTTAATAGTTAAGGACTTACTAAGAGTTGTAGCTGGTACATCATTGTCATAGAGGAACTCTTGGCCCTTTTAACAGAAGGTAGTTAATGCTGAAGGGGTTGCAATACACTGAGTTAACTAAACCTACATAATTTAATTCAGTAGAAACATATTCTAAAATTGTGCTACAAATGATTCAAGAAAATTGATCTGCTGAATTTAATAATGATTAAATGAATGGAATAGATTTGGTAAAACCTCTGTAGAAATTTGTAATGTTAGTAAACATGCCTTAAGTAATATCATTTAAAAAATTAGTTTTTTGAGCTGGGCGCAGGTGGTCCTTATACCTGTAATCCTAGCTGCTCAGGAAGCAGAGATCAGGAGGATCGCAGTTCGAAGCCAGCCCCAGGTAAATAGTTCACAAGACCCTTACTCAAAAAACCCATCACAAGTCACTAAATTTACCAGTGGTTAGATTTACTCTTAAAACCTGTGCTCTTTATTATATCTTAAAATTTCACAATAATTTGAGATTGAACAATCTGTATCTTATTAGTCAGCTTTCCATTTCTGTAACAAAATACCTGAGACAATCAATGTGAAGGAGGAAAGGTGTATGTTGACTTACAGTTTCAGAAATTTCAGTCCATAGTTACTGTGTCCTGATGCCTTTGGGTCTGTGGCAAGGCAGTAGCACATCATTGTGGAAGCAGGTAGTAGAGGAACTGCTTCGGTTACAGTGGAGGGGAAGGGAAGAAAAAGAGCGGAGGGGCTAGACTCCCAGTATCCTTTCAGAGGCCTGCCATGATGACCTAACTTCTTCCAGAAGACCCCAACTTCAAAAGGTTCCACTACCTCCTAATAGTTCTACAGACTGGTGACCCAGCCTTTAGCATATGAGCCTTTGGGGGACATTTAAGATCCAAATCATAATTCTTTACTAAAAACTGTAATCAAAAAATAAATTAATTATGACTGGAGGTATAACTTAAGTAGCAAAGTGCCTGCCTAGCAAGTGCAAGACCTTGAGTTCAGTCCCAGCTAAACAAACAAACAAACAAACAATAAATACTATCAAACATTATGTAATATGTTGCTCACTGTCACTGTGATGAATTCCTCTTAAATTCATGGCCAGACAAAAACTGACATTTTTTAATTAATTTTTTTTAGTTTTTTACACATTGAGACCTTCACTTTAACTGCTAGGAAGTTCAGAGTGTAATTATATGACATAACTTAAATTTTCCTCAGACAGCTTTTTCTGAAATGTGGTGAGTTTTATATAAAGGAAATACAGTTGTTTATATAGATTTTTATTTTGACTCTCTGTTGACCCAATAATTAACATTGGAGGTCTTTATTGTGTCTGTCTTTTTACTGTAGAAATATGTACTTGTGTTACTTTTTAGTTATTAGTTGTTATTAGTAAAGGAAAGGGAGGAAACTTTTATATGTACTTAAATGTTAAATGTTAAATTGTTCTCATGGTTATATCTGAAAGTAGGTTGATGCAGAAATCTACCTGAACCCTGCTTAGGCTTTTTTTTTTTTTTTTTTTTTAGCACTTTTAAACTAATTGTCTCATATAAAGCTCAAACTACATTAAAAACAAATGTTTGTTTTTCTTTTGTCTTACCAGTCATCATACTCATTACATTACTGTCTTCCAAAGAATAAGCTTAGAAGAAACTTAGGATACATCACTGTCTTCAGGTATCCATGTTTAGTTCTTCATGTTCAAGGGGAAGGACATTTCATAACTTAGGCTCAGGTTTGGTTATATATTACAGAAAGGAACAAAAAAATACACAATAACTTACATAAGATCAAAGCTTATTTTTATTTCATGTAAAAAGTGTTAAAGTAGGCAGGTCTATGCTTTTACTTTATAGCAACAGATTCCTTATGGTGTAGATTTTATCTTTCTGTGATAAGGTAGTTGCTAGACCTCCAGCTATCACAATCTAGTTTATGAGACTAGGATGGAGAATTGAGGGAGGAACTTTACCCTCTCTTTTAAGAAACCACTTTAAAGACCCACATCAAACTTAAAATTGTATGTCTTTGGCTAAAATTCTTTTATTTTGAATCTTCAGAGTTTAAAAATAAAAAAAAAAATGTGGTGCTTTTGGTTTTGAACTCAGGACCCTGTTCTTGCTAGGTAGGCAGTCTGCCACTTGAACCCCTTTCCAGGCCAACTTTTTTCTCTACTCTGCTTTATAGGGTAAAGTCTCCAGTATTCTCTTACTGGTGATTATAGACTTCTGAGATCTCAAAAGCAAGGTCCATGAACGAGAGAAAGAAGTTTGGTTTGTATTTGCCATTCCCTGTAAGAGAGGAAATATCTCAGGTTTATTTTACTATAAATCAAGACTTTATAAATAAGTGTTTATTTTCGAATATCTCAAGTATTTATAACCGCAAAAGCAGAGTGACAAAACCCTATGCACTTACAAATTATCAACTCATGGCCAATATTGTTTTACTTATATTTCTACCTATTCATTCCTTCCTCCTTACCCTTGTTTATTTTGAAGAAAATCCCAGACATGACATTTATTTTACCTATATAGTCCTCAGTATATATCTCTAAAATATAAGAATTCTTTCAATAAACATAACCATAATACTATGAACACACCTAAAATGAGCAGTTACATCTTTATATCATTAAATATACAGTGAGTGTTCAGATTTCCATTTTTCCTTCTTACAAATGATTTTTTTTTTGATGGTACTGGAGTTTGAACTCATGCTTGCTAGGCAGGTGTTCTATACTTGAGCCACCCCCTTAGCCCACCCACCCCCTTTTTTCTTTAGACTCAGTACTTGGGAGACAAATGATTTTTTTTTTTTTTACAAGGTCTACACATTGGATTTCATTGTTATATCCCTTTTAAATCTGTGATTTCCCTTCCCTCCCTTTCCTCCTAACATTTGATTTGTTGGAGGGTCTGGGTCTTTTGTCCTTGGTGATTTCCCATAATGTAAATTTTGTTAATTGCATGCCCATTGTTTTGTTTAGTAACATGTTCTGTCCCTGTGTGTTTTCTACAGATGTACTTAGATAAGTGGATTCAGTTACTTATTTCCTTTTGCAGAAATACTTCTTTGTAGTGTTAAGAACTTTGATCAGGGGACATGATTTTCATTTGTTCCTGTTTATGTGTCACTAGAGGGTGTTGATGACTACCTTGGTTTACTCCTTAATTACTTTGTTAGGTGGAATTCTAATAAAAAGAAGTCTTTTTTTTTTTTCTTTACTTACCCTTTGGTAGAGTTGATATAGGAAAATCTGGTGAAATGCTTTATTTTTTCTTTTTCCAGTTTATAGAAGAATGATTTCTCATTCTCCAAAGAAGATGATTGCTTTTTTATTTCACGTTCAATTACAAATTCATAGATTTTAATATTTTCATTGTCTTTCAGTCTCATTGTAAATAATAACTTTAAATCCTTCAAATTGGCTCTTGTCTTATTGATGCAACCCCAGCACTCTTTGATAGCTTCTTCAGACCAAGGCTTTGTGGTTCTGGAGTTTATTAGTGGACTAATTGTATGGAAAGTTAATAATTCTTTGAGCTAGTTATTCCTTTTCTAGGATTTTATTTTGAGGAAAAAAATAGGAAATGTAGGCAAAGATATACATATGATCTTTATTTTAAATGTACTTTAATATCATTAATTGTGACATGTCAAGAATTTTAAATGATAAATGGCACATAAAGACAAAAATAACTTCATCTTCTGAAATATTGCAATGAGTAGTTTAGTTTTCACAGTAGTTGAGATATAGAAAATCAAGAATGTAAATTACATTTATAATTCCAAGGAAAAAAATTCACTTTTCAAGTATCAGGCTAATACTTTTGCTTTACCAAACCTTTTTTTTTT